ACATGGAGCGGGTGGATGGAGCGAGGAGGGTGAGCAGAGTGTGTGTGAGCATGTCAAGTAAGTGTGGAATGGCGAGGGGTGGTCAGATGCGCCGTCGTCCGATCTTACTTTGCTCTGCACTGCTCCAGAACCTTCCTAGTCGTGGCGACGTCCCAGGCGACTATACACTGAACACGTCACGCTCTCTCCCGTTCCTCTCCTGGTGAGTCAGCAGCGAGCAGCAGCAGCCCTCAGCAGAACCAGTCATGCCACATCTACCCGTAATCTAAGCTAGCACTCTTTTAGGTGATCTTACGTCTTGTAACAAACCATAGGCTCTATGCCCGCTGGTCCCGTACTCCAGTCACTTCGCTGCCGTCGAACTATGGTGCCGCTGCAAGTTTCATTACACGCCCATCTCGACATGCTCTTACGTACTACATACCTTTAATTAATAAACATACGTACCACCTCGGTCGCGTTCTACTCTCGCGTTACAAATGAAGCATACACTGTAATATCTCTATTTGTTGAGAATACACTAAGATTCACCGTGACCTCTCATTGCTCTCGCCCTTAATCACCACTTGCGGTTCTCGCACCCTAGCGTGTCTATACTGATGAGAACATTCTCTCAGTGCATTGATCGTCGATTCACCGGCTCCTATTCTCCTCTCCTCTGCATGCTTCTCCCTTCGTGCCTCTGCCTTCAAATGCCTCCTCACTCCTACCACTCCTGCTCGACTTTCATCTTCTTTGATCCTCCTTCGCCTCATCCATCTCCAAATCACCTATCGGATCCCTACTCCTTCTACTTCTCGTTCGTTCCTGTAAAACTCCTTCTCATAAACATCCTCTTCTTCACCTTTCCCTCCTCTCTCTCTTCTCCTCCCTCGTTTTTCAGCTACACGACAAAAATGGACTGCTTAGCCTCCAGCAACGTTTCCGCACCGTATCTGGGAATTCTTGAGTTTATTTTAACACCTTAATACTACATAACTCGCGCCCGCAGCTCTCTCGTCGCTGCGCCTCAATGGGCCCTCCACTCCCGCTTACTACTGTTTGGATACGTGGTCCCACAAGCCTTCTACATCATACTCATCTCTCGCCTACTCTCAACTCCTTTTCCTTTACCTTCTTTGCTTTCTTAGACGCTCCACGACTCGCATCTTACATCTGCGCTGCACCCTAATGTCACAATGCTCTACCCTTTGCACTTCTTCACCACATCTTACATCCCCCACACGTTCTCCCCGACGTTCTCCCCTTCACTCCTCCTTACCACCTCCTACTTATCTCCGAGCCTCCTAACGCCCTGTCCTACTCACTATTTCGCACTGCCTCGCTACTAAACAAACTCTGAACCCTAAACACCACCTTCTCCCTCTCCTCCACCTTTCTCCCTCTTCTCTACCTCCTGACCATGTATCTGTTCAACATTACTATAATAAACAACCAAGTGGAAGATAAAAAAATTGCCCCGCGAAAAAGAGAGCGGGTAATTGGTTTTCGTGCTAGGGAGACGGAAATAGGGTAAATTGTCCGGGACTGCAGACGTGGAAGTTGTTGACGCGCTAGCGCGGCTGTTGGGTAATACTGTCCCGTCCGTGTTAGTATAACTGCGCGGTGGTACTGTGGTATCGCCACGCAGTGCGGCGGTAATGTCCGGCGTTCATTCAACTGGGTAATTGTCGGGGGTAAAGTGTCCGGGGGTAAATTGTGCCCTGGGAGTCATCGGCCAACGTTTACGGCTGCTGTCCCGCTCGCAAGGATTAACCTTATGGTAATTGTCCTCGGATGTATTTTATCCCGATTCGCGCGGGACGCGGATAAGTTGTCCGGCGAGTATAGTACAGAATTATACTGTCCTGGCGCACGGTATTTCCCTGAGCGGACTTAGTAGGCGGCTTCCAATGTTCACTGGGATACTCGAGCTGATGTGTGAGCAGTGCTATCTATTTATCAGTGCACACAGGCGCGGGCCCGCATCGCGCATAGCTCGTTCAATTGTAGACATGTAAATGGTGAGGTGTATGAACCAGTGAGTGTGAGATGATTCTGGATTGTCTATACAAATTATTTGACCGTAGTGATCTTGGAGTAGTTGGCGTGTGAGCAGAGAGATGTGTTAGTGGCTCGGAGATGAGCGTGAATTAAGATACACGTAAGGTGAGACGTGTGATTTTATTATTAAGGTATGACTAATTATGCGCCGTGGCGCAGAGAGAGACCCGCAGGCGAAAGCGGAATGTATGGTAGGAAGGATGACGCCACGGAGTAGTTACGAGAGACATACGCATAGCATACACAGAGAGACACAGCAGAGACGACACCCCACCCAAAACAAGCACAGCACTGAACAAAACCCAGAGGAGATATGAACAATACTAGCTATCACACACCTGACACACACACAACACACTAACACATCACTAAACATACCATACTCACAACACCACACACATCATCCGTCACACCATACACTACCACCACTACTACCACTAGCCCTACAGCCAACAGCGAGCTTATACCTGGAACTACGACCGACCCACAACACATCATCCAATGAGAATGAGCGAGCATCTACAAGCGACACAGCACGCGGCGATGGCGAACTCCGACAATGGACCGGCTTGCCGGCCATGTTCCACTCAAAGCCAGGGCGCGACCAGCATATTCAACACTGACACAGCACACACGATGTACAGCGACACAACACGACACTGAATTTAACAGCTCCACGATTGGCTCGCTCGCTACCCTGAAACGCTCGGCCTCCGGACGCTTTTGTCCGTCCGTACAGGCTACACACACACACGGCATCACAAGCACATCACACCCCACACACACACACACACACCACACACACACACCACACACCACACACACAAGCACAATCCTCCACGAGGCTAGTTATTCGTGTGTCTGCACTTTTTGCACCGCACTACCGTAAGCCAGTCAGCCTTCTGAGCCTAAACCCCGAGGTATTAGACCCCATAATCGCCGCAACCATCATTGCATTTTCACCGTTGATACGAGCAACAAGGAACATTTTTGCTAATTAAACAACTTCACTTAGCGTTGACTCCATTGAATGCTCGAGGCCGATTTCTTCTACCGCTACACGCTCGGTTCCGTAGTTTTTTCTTATTGCCGAGACTTCTATACGACTTGGGAGCATCAGGCGGAGTTCGAAGCTCATGTCGCGCATTATTAGGAGCTAGATTCAATAGAGTTGCGTTTGAATCTGATGCGAATCGAGAATCCGCCGTCTCTGGCGAAGAGGAAAGGAGACGCTCGGAAGAAGACGAGATTTTGGAATAAGGTAGATTGAGCCGGCTCTAGTGGGGGGGGGGAGGGCTCGGCCGAAGCCCCACCGCGGCAACCCAAACTCGCCCGCTGCTTGTAATTAAAGACGTCTAGACCAAACGATATGAGAGTTTTTCCATACACGTTTACCTTGTATTTTAGTTTGCCGCGAAAATCGATGCTACATTCACACAGTGCATTCATAAGCTCAAGATGACCAATAACAGAAAAACTTTGTCAGTATTATTAGGTCTCGTTGATAGACCATCCATAACACATAATTATCACAGATTAAATGCGTTCGCTTATGTGTTTTGTTGATGGGTGTGTGTGTGTGTGTGTCTGTTGTGTGCTGCGTATGCTTGCCTGCCGAGTGCCTGTAGGATTGCAACGTGCGCGCGCGCGGTAGACGGCCCGCGCACAGCTGGTCGGCGCGTGCTTGCTGTGTTCGCGGTTGTTGGCTGGTGTTGGCTGTGTGTGTGTGCTGAAACGATTAGCGCGAAGCCGCAATGCGGTTGGATCCGCCGGTGAAGAAGTTTTGGGAGGTGAGCATCGCTGCTGTGCAGACGGAGATTATGCGTACGTTATATCGTGCGGCTCTGGTGTGATGTTGGGCATTTAATATGGCAATTTCAGTCGATTGTGTGTATGCGTAGAGGATGAGGCAAATACATTGCATCTGGCGTGTCGGTTATCATGCACAACGGCGGCTGATGCAGGAGACAAGCGGCAATGATATTCACCTAGCTAAGCTTGTATTGACACGGGTGTCAATTTGGATCTCAAGGTTATGTAATTACAGTGTGTGTGTTGTGTGATGCTGTAGAAACAAGGTTCTGCCTATGCACTGCCACACTAGATGGTCTGTATTTATAGGCAAGGTGCGATTGCACATCACCTTATATCCGTCGCTCAGGTGTTTGTCTTGTGTGCGTGGGTATTGAATGTAAGTGGGCATTAACTGCCGTCATCCTGGATGAATGCAGTGGGACGGAGGAATTATAGGATGGGAAAGGCTTAGGATGTGTTCCTGTGTAGCCAGAAACTGTAATTACAACTTTTTCAGAGTTACGTCAAACGTTTTGAGCTGGAGGCTATGATATCTGCTCTGTGCTTCCAACTGATTTGGGATGCTCGTGTCACATTTATGTTCTTGTTAAGCTGGCTGATGTGCGGTGATATGCTGCCAGCTGATACTCTGGACCGCCCGATCATTACTGATAGTAACACAACAACGACAGTCATATAGCTGTCGCTGCTCGCTCGCTCTGTGTGTACAGGATGTTCGCTGTATCGAATTTCAAATACTGCTGTACATGTCCTGTCTAGAAGCAGCATGTTCGAAAGCTATTGTTTACAAATGTATCAATACGTGTGATCAGTGTATCCTGTCTAGAAGCAGCACTGATTCGAAGCGTATTATTACAAAGTATATGTCGCTGTACTCGCGCGACCGTGCATGTGCCTGGTTGCGTGTAAGGAGCTCGACTTGGTGATTCGAACGCTTATTTGTTCAAATTTATCAATACTGCGAGCATGCCTGTCTAGACGTGACGTTGAGGGCACTGATTCGAAGCTATTGTTCAAATGTATCAATACTGTGATCACTGCCTGTCTAGAAGCAGCACTGATTCGAAGCTATTGTTCAAATATATCAATACTGCGAGCACTGCCTGTCTAGAAGCAGCACTGATTCGAAGCTATGTGCGTAGGGAGAGAGATTGGAAGCAGGCGGTGTACTGGTACGACCGCGCGATCCACACTGACGAGATTGACGCTGGCGGGGAGTTTGACTCGACGATGGACGACCCCATGTACATGCTCATGTCGTGCGAGGCGGAGCTGTGGAGGAAGGGAGGCCTAGGGCTGACGAAGGATCCAAGCTATGCCGGTACGTGCTCGCGCGCTGATACGGCGGTACCGAGCAAGCCGGCCTATATACATCTACCTTTTTGCCATCATCTCGGGCTGCGCTGTTGTTGCAGTTGTTGTTGTTGTTGTTGTTGTTGGTGGTGGTGGTGGTGGTGGTGGTGGTGTTATTATTGTTGTTTCTTGTTGTCATTCATTGTTTTGGTGTTGTGAACTGAACGATGTGTTTCCATCTTCATCATGTTTGGTGACCGTATTTGATGATTTAAGGTACGTCATCTTGATTGAGCAAATCGAACCAAACTTTTTTTTACTTAAATCGAGTCTTAAAGCTGTTTAATTGGTTTGGACACATCTTAGAATTTTCCCGAAGCATGAATATTGTCGATTTTTCACTCCGTTTATCCCTATGAAACCCATCAATGGACTGCGTTGTGGTATTTGTTTAGCAGTTTGTAATTTGATTTTGCCATTCTGCAGGAGAACTGTATACGATGGCTGCAGACAATGCCATGGAGAGCATGAAGGGCCGTCTGGCAAACAAGTTCTATGCGCTTGCCGAGGAGGCTTGGGCCGAGGTGGAGGAACCAGAGGAGTGAACGTCACAACTCCGAGCAAGTGTTGTGGTAGTACTGGATGCAGCACTGCTACAGCTTTGAGACAAATTCACGGAAAAGTGTAGTTTTGGAGTAGATGGAGTGCAAGAGAGAGAGAGGGGGTGAGAGGTGGTGTGGGGCGTGAGTGTGTATATGTGTTTGTGATAGAATATGAATGGAATGGAATAGAATATGAGCAATATAACTATATAAAGTGTGAAAGGTATTTTTTGCACGTGGTGTGTGTATGTGAGAATGAATGATAGTATGGTGAACGTTTTTGTAAGGGAAATTTAGCTGACTAAGATCTGTATAAGTATATGAGTCCTGTCATTAATTACCAGTGTGTTTCCTATGCAAGCAATACATGATAAAATAGGCTGCAGCAGCACTGCTGTGTGTTCATAGTAATAATTGTGTATAGTGTGGTCTAGGCACGTTTACGAGTGTTTTATACTTCCACTGCATGTAGAATTTGGTTACTTCCATTTAGTTTATTGGTGCCTGTAGGGTCTATGTCTCCCTGACCTCTGTTTGACCTCGCTCGTTTAGCTATTTCTGACTAACCCTAACCCTAACCATATCGGATAGTTACCAGGGTTATGATTAGTCAGAAATAACTAAATGAGCCAGGTCAAACAGAGGTCAGGGAGACAGACCTTATCTGCTTTATTGGTATTTCTGTCAATGCAATTAAAAATAGTTAGCCCGTGATACCAATACCATAAAACTATATATTTATATATAAAGAGTAGGTTAAGATAAGACATGTACATTTGGAGCAAAAGACTTTTTTCAAAACGTCGTCATACTCACGGAATTTGTATCTAGTTGGCAGTCTTCCCGGTAGAATAGATGTATAGTGAGTGACCTCAAAAGTTGCCAAGACTAATGCTAATTTCTCTACTTGTTCAACAAATGAGCAAAAAACTGAGGGCAAAGTTTATGTGCACAACGTTCCTCTCTTTGACATAAAGTGCAACAAATTGTTTAATTTCAAGCTAACAAGCCCTAAACAGTATTCAGGGCCATAGCCAGAGGTAAATTGTGTAGGAGGCAAATGTTGTGAGTTAAAGAACAAGGAGCGAAGCGACCCAATAGGGTGTGGGGTATGGGGCCCACTTAAGGGCCCCAGAAGAACTTTTGTAGGAGGCATTTGCCTCCTATTGCCTAATGGTAGCTACGGCCCTGACAGTATTATTTGTCTTTCATAAATTTTATAATACAACTGGGTGGAGGCTAGTTTACGGTGTACATTTCATACCACTCAAACTACATATTTTTAACCGGTACTGGTTTTGTTCGACTAGAAAGTAGGCGAACACAATAAGTGTGTGCCTGAAGGCTATCCATGCATAGTTAGATAGGTGAGGGAGCATATGCTCAACAAGCATATTTATAACAAATGCTCTAGTATTAGTAGGTCTCAGGGGAGAGATAGTGAATATAGAAATAAGTTGTGGATATAGAAATCAGTTAACCCTAACCCTAATCCCATCCCTAATTCTAAAATAAAACCAAATTAGCCAAAAATAATAAAAAATAAAATAAATAAGAGACAAAATTAGCCAATCAGAGCTGTCCCCTAGTGGATCGCTCTCTCCCCTGTGCAAAATTCCTCTAGTATTGGCAACTGTGTTGCTTTGTTTTCTATAACTGACGTTTTTACAGAGTGGGGTTGTTTGCCTTACCCTATATTATAATTATTGTGTTATAATCATTATGTGTCATAAGTTAAGAAAAACACTATGCAAGTGAAGAAATGCACAATATCCCCATGATTTTAAAGACATGGTGCTGTGTGTTAAGTGGACATTGTATAAGCTAGTGATGAATGCAGTGGATTTCATGTATAAATGGTGTTGTCATATGTCATGTGAAAGCATGTTTCGCTTGTATGCAATTTCCAGATGTTATGTGAAATGTTAGTTCGACAGTCTTGTCATATCTCTGGGCATTTCTATGCCTGAGGTTGTCACCATGGACACTGATAAAGGTGTGTATCTCATGGCTAGAGTTGTCAGTTTTCCATGCGTCCTGGTAGACACACCTCTTGACATTGCAGCCTCAAGTGTTCTCTGGTTCTCTTCGGTGTGAACTCGTTTTTCGCATCGATTTGTTTCAAGTGGAAATATCATTCATATGTTATTTCCCCGAATTCGTTTAATGTATAAATGGTGCTGATACGTCAAGTCCCTATGTGATAATACACTTTACGATTTTTAGGTGTGATGCCAAATATTTGTTTGTCTGTCTTGTGCCATAGAGCACTGAAGTGTGACGTCACGGTGGCATGACAACGAACCCACTGGTTCTAAACAATCATTGGCTCCGTAACATTAACTGCGTGAAAATGGTGTTGTGCATACGTAAAACGTGTGTGCGCTGCAGACAGCGGTAAAGCATTGGTAGCAAGTCGATTCTACGACATTAATTTCATCGTCAAAATGCCTAGGGGAAAACATATCTGAATACCGTATCAACTTAATCCATCGTTGCTTTTCACTTCCATCCTTTGGAAATCTATAAAAACTGCAATAATGACTCTCAGAATGATGGTTACAGTCGGGTACAAAACACGACACCATTCCCGCAGTTAATGTTATGGAGCCAATGATTGTTTAGAACCAGTGGGTTCGTTGTCACTTCGGAGCTCTATTTCTGAGATTATATGGTTGCTGTCCCAATGGCTGCTTGGAAGGGTTTAGATTTATCTGCATCTCCGATCGAGTTTGCCGTGTGTTCACATATCCTGACAGAACTGCTGTATCTTCCAGTCACCTTGCCTTTTGGGTGGTTTGCAGTTTTCTTTCTAACTTCATCTGTGTGGTGTGAGGTGTCAAAGCTCTTGTAAGATCAGGTGATTAATTCGTTATGATTTCAAATGTATTGTACTCGTGTAAATCGAATTTATATACTTCAAACATTAGCACTGATGTTCCTTCTGGGATCGTCTGTTTCTTTTAATCTGATAGTGCAATGTTTGTTTGATGAAAGTAATTCACAAGTATGTGTTATCGTAATGAGAAATGCAGGGAGTGTTGGCTCGTTAGTTGATTGCATTTACTGTATTCATGATGAGCTTTTGTGTGAATTGACTGCTGCCAAATGTTAGTTGACATGTAGGGGTGAGGTGTTCCCCCCCCCCATTGAGATCAGGCTTAGTGTGTGAAGATTATATGTAAATAGTGGCTCGTACACGACAAAAAAACTCAAAAAGTTGTAAATAAAAAGCCCAAATGGAAAACTGCCAGATTTAGAGCATCTGGTCAAGAACACGGTTACGAGTAAATGGCTGAGGTCGGGAACGTTCTCAGAACGGTGAATTTGTAAATATTTTCGGGGTTAGTGTTAATAGTTATATATGTACATGCCTTAATCGCAATGGCTTCCAATTTGGCTATTTCAGGAACAGTGAACCAAATGAGTTCCAAATGTGTTTCCAAACGAGTGCCTTTACTGCTAGAGTGGGAAATGTTGGCATCCACGTGGATGTTTTTGGATGCAATATATACAAATTTAAGTTTTGATGCGAGTTATAGGTGGGATGCCAGCTGGCCATTATTTTAACAATTATTTTACTTCATTTGTAGTCACGTCATTTATGTGCGAGTTGATCAGTATTTTGCCTTAGATGTAAGGATTGTAAGATTGCTTTGTCTTTTCTGAAGATTATACCATATCACCATATGCTTATACCATTTTCAATCGTGCATTTTGGTGTGTGTGTGTGTGTGCAGTTTCCTATGAGTCTGGGAAAACATGTCCCTATAGATGTTTTGTTACCTTGCTAGTTTACAATGGGCGAGCAATAAACCTACTGTGTGACGTGTGATAATAATATATCTGGTTAGACTTTGTTTAAATTTGAATTGATCATTAAACAAACTTAAAAGAAAACATCACACTACTATGCATTAAAAAAGTGATACATATATCTTCTCATACATTAAATACAAGATGATGTTGACATTTGTGAATATGTCAAAGTATTGATTCTACATTTTGAACACTAACATACAGCAATGTTAGTTGAATTATTCGGAACAAATCTTTCATTCTATCGGATAGATTGAATAAAAGTTACAGCACAAGACTTCACAAACAAGATGGAATTTTTGGGAAATAAAAAGGCAATGACTTGCTATCTTTTTTTGAATCCGTATTTCTTCCGTTCATAGAAAAGATCTGTTTTGGAGCTTCCTAGGTTGACTATCTTTGGGCACCCGTCTCTCTGAAATGAACAATGTATTCATTAATTGTTATGTGTTTTATCATATCCCTACCAAGCAGTGTTACTAACACTATATCTTAACACTGCTACTGGTCACTGACCCAGAGAGGATGATGATAAAGTTAGTTGCCAACAAGCAAACCTATAAATGACGATCCATCAATTTGTTTCAATACTTGCCAGCCTGGTGTGAAAACCGCAACCCACACACAAAACCAAACCATTATGCTTTGTGGAACTAGTGAGCCGAGATTTGAACGATTGGACTCTCTGTATACGAATGCGACGTTTTGAAATCGGTTACCATAACCGCAGCAAACAAGTGACAGCTCGTATAGAGTATACGCGATTCTTAGTGAACGTACGTCTTTTTCTTGTATCGTACACTCTTTGCAGTAGTAGGCATCAGACACGCCCGGACCTCCACAAATCACGCAGCGGCCCTGGTAGGATCCGTAGTTACATTCGTCACATATGCGGACCAGGGTGCATGGACGCACGTACGAGTCGCAGATTACACACTTGCCATCACATTTCTCACAGAGTCTTCCAATGGCTGAAAGTAATATATGAAATTAACGGCAATTAAAGTAATTATTGCAAGAGTTTTCCAGTGTTTTCACCACTTTCATGATACCTACCGTTATTGCTTGAGTAACAACAATTGTTTCGAGTAACAATAAAATGTCTTAGAACCTTCGATTCACCAAACCATGCAATTTTCGAACTACTAGTTTGGTAAACAATCATTTGCTATAATCTTGAAACTAGCCGGTAGTGTGGATTAGCTAGTGGCGCCGTGCCATACACATAGTACAGACTCTCTCAAATGCACTTGTATTCAATTAATCACCGACAATTTACAAGTTTACCA